GAGTGAGTGGAGTTTGTGTGATCACCCCCTGTTCTACAGAGTGAGTGGAGTTTGTATGATCTCCCCCTGTTCTACAGAGTGAGTGAGTGGAGTTTGTGTGATCTCCCCCTGTTCCACAGAGTGAGTGGAGTTTGTATGATCAACCCCTGTTCTACACAGTGAGTGAGTGGAGTTTGTGTGATCACCCCCTGTTCTACAGAGCGAGTAGAGTTTGTGTGATCTCCCCCTGTACTACAGAGTGAGTGGAGTTTGTGTGATCACCCCCTGTTCTACAGAGTGAGTGAGTGGAGATTGTATGATCTCCCCCTGTTCTACAGAGTGAGTGAGTGGAGTTTGTATGATCTCCCCCTGTACTACAGAGAGTGAGTGGAGTTTGTGTGATCACCCCCTGTTCTACAGAGTGAGTGGAGTTTGTGTGATCTCCCCCTGTTCTACAGAGTGAGTGGAGTTTGTATGATCTCCCCTGGCACTACAGAGTGAGTGAAGTTTGTATGATCTCCCCCTGTTTTACAGGGTGAGTGGAGTTTGTATGATCTCCCCCTGTTCAACAGAGAGAATGGAGTTTGTATGATCACCCCCTGTTCTACAGAGCAAGTAGAGTTTGTGTGATCTCCCCCTATACTACAGAGAGTGAGTGGAGTTTGTGTGATCACCCCCTGTTCTACAGAGTGAGTGAGTGAGTGGAGTTTGTGTGATCACCCCCTGTTCTACAGAGTGAGTGGAGTTTGTGTGATCTCCCTCTGTTCCACAGAGTGAGCGGAGTTTGTATGATCTCCCCCTGTTCTACACAGTGAGTGAGTGGAGTTTGTGTGATCACCCCCTGTTCTACAGAGCGAGTAGAGTTTGTGTGATCTCTCCCTGTACTACAGAGAGTGAGTGGAGTTTGTGTGATCATCCCCTGTTCTACAGAGTGAGTGGAGTTTGTATGATCTCCCCCTGTTCTAAGCGCAAGTGTGTGGAGTTTGTATGATCTCCCCCAGTTCTACAGAGTGAGTGGAGTTTGTGTGACCTCCCCCTGTTCTACAGAGTGGAGTTTGTATGATCTCCCACCGTTCTACAGAGTGAGTTAGTCGAGTCTGTATGATCCCCCCCTGTTCTAAGAGTGAGTGTGTGGAGTTTGTATGATCTCCCCCTGTTCTACAGAGTGAGTGGAGTTTGTGTGATCTCCCCCGGCACTACAGAGTGAGTGGAGTTTGTATGATCCACCCCTGTTTTACAGGGTGAGTGGAGTTTGTATGATCTCCCCCTGTTCAACAGAGAGAGTGGAGTTTGTATGATCTCCCCCTGTTCTACAGAGTGAGTGAGTGGAGTTTGTGTGATCACCCCCTGTTCTACAGAGTGAGTGGAGTTTGTATGATCTCCCCCTGTTCTACAGAGTGAGTGAGTGGAGTTTGTGTGATCTCCCCCTGTTCTACAGAGCAAGTAGAGTTTGTATGATCTCCCCCTGTTCTACAGAGTGAGTGAGTGGAGTTTGTGTGATCTCCCCCTGTTCTACAGAGTGAGTGGAGTTTGTATGATCTCCCCCTGTTCTACACAGTGAGTGAGTGGAGTTTGTGTGATCACCCCCTGTTCTACAGAGTGAGTGAGTGGAGATTGTATGATCTCCCCCTGTTCTACAGAGTGAGTGAGTGGAGTTTGTATGATCTCCCCCTGTACTACAGAGAGTGAGTGGAGTTTGTGTGATCACCCCCTGTTCTACAGAGTGAGTGAAGTTTGTATGATCTCCCCCTGTTTTACAGGGTGAGTGGAGTTTGTATGATCTCCCCCTGTTCAACAGAGAGAATGGAGTTTGTGTGATCACCCCCTGTTCTACAGAGTGAGTGGAGTTTGTGTGATCTCCCTCTGTTCCACAGAGTGAGTGGAGTTTGTATGATCTCCCCCTGTTCTACACAGTGAGTGAGTGGAGTTTGTGTGATCACCCCCTGTTCTACAGAGTGAGTAGAGTTTGTGTGATCTCTCCCTGTACTACAGAGAGTGAGTGGAGTTTGTGTGATCATCCCCTGTTCTACAGAGTGAGTGGAGTTTGTATGATCTCCCCCTGTTCTAAGCGTGAGTGTGTGGAGTTAGTATGATCTCCCCCAGTTCTACAGAGTGAGTGGAGTTTGTATGATCTCCCCCTGTACTACAGAGAGTGAGTGGAGTTTGTGTGATCACCCCCTGTTCTACAGAGTGAGTGGAGTTTGTGTGATCTCCCCCTGTTCTACAGAGTGAGTGGAGTTTGTATGATCTCCCCTGGCACTACAGAGTGAGTGAAGTTTGTATGATCTCCCCCTGTTTTACAGGGTGAGTGGAGTTTGTATGATCTCCCCCTGTTCAACAGAGAGAATGGAGTTTGTGTGATCACCCCCTGTTCTACAGAGTGAGTGGAGTTTGTGTGATCTCCTTCTGTTCCACAGAGTGAGTGGAGTTTGTATGATCTCCCCCTGTTCTACACAGTGAGTGAGTGGAGTTTGTGTGATCACCCCCTGTTCTACAGAGCGAGTAGAGTTTGTGTGATCTCTCCCTGTACTACAGAGAGTGAGTGGAGTTTGTGTGATCATCCCCTGTTCTACAGAGTGAGTGGAGTTTGTATGATCTCCCCCTGTTCTAAGCGTGAGTGTGTGGAGTTTGTATGATCTCCCCCAGTTCTACAGAGTGAGTGGAGTTTGTATGATCTCCCCCTGTTCAACAGAGAGAGTGGAGTTTGCATGATCTCTCCCCATTCTACCGAGTGGAGTTTGTAAGACCTCCCCCGGTACTACAGAGTGAGTGGAGTTTGTATGATCTCCCCCTGTTCTACACAGTGAGTGGAGTTTGTATCATCTCCCACTGTTCTACAGAGTGAATGGAGTTTGTATGACATCCCCCTGTTCTACAGAGTGAGAGAGTGGAGTTTGTATGATCTCCCCCTTTGCTACAAAGTGATTGAGTGGAGTTTGTATGATCTCCCCCTGTTCTATATAGTGAGTGGAGTTTGTATGATCTCCCCCTGCTCTAGAGAGTGAGAGAGTGGAGTTTGTATGATCTCCCCCTGTTCTACAGAATGAGGGCGTTTGTATGATCTCCCCCTGTTCTACAGAGTGAGGGCGTTTGTATGATCTCCCCCTGTTCTACAGAGTGAGTGAGTAGAGTTTGTATGATCTCCCCCAGGACTACAGAGTGAGTGGAGTTTGTATGATCTCCCCCTGTTCTACAGAGTGAGAGTGAGTGGAGTTTGTATGAGCTCCCCCTGTTCTTCAGAGTGAGCGGAGTTTGTATGATCTCCCCCTGCTCTAGAGAGTGAGTGAGTAGAGTTTGTATGATCTCCCCCAGGACTACAGAGTGAGTGGAGTTTGTATGATCTCCCCCTGTTCTACAGAGTGAGAGTGAGTGGAGTTTGTATGAGCTCCCCCTGTTCTTCAGAGTGAGCGGAGTTTGTATGATCTCCCCCTGTTCTACAAAGTGGAGTTTGTATGATCCCCCCCTGTTCTACAGAGTGGCGTTTGTATGATCTCCCCCTGTTCTACAGAGTGAGTGCGTGGAGATTGTATGACCTCCCCCTGTTCTAGAGTGAGAGAGTGGAGTTTGTATGATCTACCCCTGTTCTACAGAGTGGAGTTTGTATGATCTCCCCCTGTTCTACAGAGTCAGTGAGTGGAGTTTGTATGATCTCCCCCTGTACTACAGAGTGAGTGAATGAGTGGAGTTTGTATGATCTCCCCCTGTTCTACAGAGCAAATGTAGTTTGTATGATCTCCCCCCATTCTACAGAGCGAATGTAGTTTGTATGATCTCCCCCTGTTTGACAGAGTGAGTGGAGTTTGTATGATCTCCCCCTGTTCTACAGAGTGAGTGGAGTTTGTATGATCTCCCCCTGTTTGACAGAGTGAGTGGAGTTTGTATGATCTCCCCCTGTTTGACAGAGTGAGTGGAGTTTGTATGATCTCCCCCTGTTCTACAGAGTGAGTGGAGTTTGTATGATCTCCCCCTGTTTGACAGAGTGGAGTTTGTATGATCTCCCCCTGTTCTACAGAGTCAGTGAGTGGAGTTTGTATGATCTCCCCCTGTACTACAGAGTGAGTGAATGAGTGGAGTTTGTATGATCTCCCCCTGTTCTACAGAGCGAATGTAGTTTGTATGATCTCCCCCCATTCTACAGAGCGAATGTAGTTTGTATGATCTCCCCCTGTTTGACAGAGTAAGTGTAGTTTGTATGATCTCCCCCTGTTTGACAGAGTGAGTGGAGTTTGTATGATCTCCCCCTGTTTGACAGAGTGAGTGGAGTTTGTATGATCTCCCCCTGTTCTACAGAGTGAGTGGAGTTTGTATGATCTCCCCCTGTTCTACAGAGCGAGTGTAGTTTGTATGATCTCCCCCTGTTCTACAGAGTGAGTGTAGTTTGTATGATCTCCCCCTGTTCTACAGAGTAAGTGTAGTTTGTATGATTTCCCCCTGTTCTACAGAGTGAGTGGAGTTTGTATGATCTCCCCTGTTCTACAGAGTGAGTGAGTGGAGTTTGTATGATCTCCCCCTGTTCTACAGAGTGAGTGTAGTTTGTATGATCTCCCCTGTTCTACAGAGTGAGTAAGTGTAGTTTGTATGATCTCCGCTTGTTCTACAGAGTGAGTGAGTGGAGTTTGTATGATCTCCCCCTGTTCTACAGAGTGAGTGAGTGGAGTTTGTATGATCTCCCCCTGTTCTACAGAGTGAGTGAGTGGAGTTTGTATGATCTCCCCCTGTTTGACAGAGTGAGTGAGTGAGTGGAGTTTGTGTGATCTCCGCCTGTTCTACAGAGTGAGTGGAGTTTGTGTGATCTCCGCCTGTTCTACAGAGCGAGTGTAGTTTGTATGATCTCCGCCTGTTCTACAGAGTCAGTGAGTGGAGTTTGTATGATCTCCGCCTGTTCTACAGAGCGAGCGGAGTTTGTGTGATCTCCCCCCAGTTCTACACAGAGCGATGGTCGCGCGTTGCGAGCGATCAAACCCCGCGCGCCTCCTTCACGAATCGGCGTTCCAACCGAAAACCCACGGCGGAGCGCTCACCTTGAGCGGGGAGATGTGCGAGTGCGCCACTAGCCCATGGACGCTCTCCACCTGCGAGAGGTTCTTCTCCGACACGTGCACCAGCTCGGGACCGCCCCCGCGCGGAGCCTCCAAGAGCCGGTGGGCGGGGCTGTGGTCCGGGGGCGGGGAGCCATCCTCATCCTGGTAGCGGTACTTCTGCGGCCACCGAAACGCAAGGGGAGTGGGTGGGGAGTGGTGGGAGAATTAGAGGCGGCGGTGACGGCGGCGATGGCGGAGGAGGAGGCTCGCGAAGGACGCGGCAGTTGGAGGCAGAAGCCCTCCAACAGACAGCAGCGGAATTCTTTTGAAAGATCTGGAGAGAGAGAGAGAGAGAGTCGCCCCACCCTCCCCCCCCATCATCATCAGTGAGCTACTCCGGGCAGGCAAGGCTAAAGTTGTGGCTGGGTCACGTAGCCACCGCATGCCCCAAAGCAGCTTCTGTTTGGCCGGATAGAGGAGTGCCGAACGGGAACTGGCACCGGCTAGAGAGGAGATGGAGTGACGTGGTACAGGAGGACGTGGAGCTGAGTGGACTTGTCGACGACCGGTACCAGCGGTGTCAAGAGCGGCCTCTGTGGAGGAGGCTCGTGAAGGACGCTGCTGCTGGGCAGTTGGAGGTAGTCGCCCTCCAACAACAACGGAGGGCGGAGGAGCGACGCTCACAACAACGAGCAGAGAGCCGGGCGGATAAAACGCAGCAAAAGTTGGCACAGTAGGGGGGCACAGGTGGTGGTGTATCTAGCGGTCATCTCGGTCAGTTGACCCATGGCTCCTGCTGGGTCTATCACGTGACCTCCTCCTGCCAGCAGCGAGCCTTTGACACTTCACGTGACGGCTTCAAAGTGGTGCACCTAGCCTGGCGCAGTCGCCGTGGTGATGTCACTGCAACCATCACCACCCCTACTACTGACATACTAATGCACAGGGACAGCTGCCACTGGGGGTGCCCCTAGGCTAGACCCACACAGCAGTCAACCATCACCACCCCTACTACTGACAGACTGATGCACAGGGACAGCTGCCACTGGGGGTGCCCCTAGCCTAGACCACACAGCAGCAATCATCACCACCCCTACTACTGACAGACTGATGCACAGGGACAGCTACCACTGGGGGTGCCCCTAGGCTAGACCCACACAGCAGTCAACCATCACCACCCCTACTACTGACAGACCGATGTACAGGGACAGCTGCCACTGGGGGTGCCCCTAGGCTAGACCCACACAGCAGCAACCATCACCACCCCTACTACTGACAGACCGATGTACAGGGACAGCTGCCACTGGGGGTGCCCCGAGGCTCTGAGCCTCGGTGTCTGTGTGAGTCTGGGTCTCTATGTGAGTATGTGTGTATCTCTGTGTATGTGTGTGTATGTGTGTCTCTGTGTATGTGTGTCTCTGTGTATGTGTGTCTCTGTGCATGTGTGTGTCTCTGTGCATGTGTGTGTCTCTGTGCATGTGTGTGCCTCTGTGTATGTGTGTGTCTCTGTGCGTGTGTGTGTCTCCGTGTGTGTGTCTCTGTGTATGTGTGTGTCTCTGTGTATGTGTGTGCCTCTGTGTATGTGTGTGCCTCTGTGTATGTGTGTGTCTCTGTGTATGTGTGTCTCTGTGTATGTGTGTCTCTGTGTATGTGTGTGCCTCTGTGTATGTGTGTGCCTCTGTGTATGTGTGTGTCTCTGTGTATGTGTGTGTCTCTGTGTGTGTGTTTGTGTGTCTCCCTGTGTGTATCTCTGTGTGTGTGTCTCTGTGTATGTGTGTGTCTCTCTGTGTATGTGTGTGTCTCAGGGTGCACATAGCCTGGCACAAGCGTCGTGGTGACGTCACCGCCACTTAGTGGCGAATGGCGGTTGTTGTTGTTGTTGTGTGTCTCTGTGTGTGTGTCTCTGTGTATGTGTGTGTCTCTGTGTATGTGTGTGTGTCTGTGTGTATGTGTGTGTCTGTGTGTATGTGTGTGTCTCTGTGTATGTGTGTGTCTCTGTGTATGTGTGTGTCTCTGTGTATGTGTGTCTCTGTGTATGTGTGTGTCTCTGTGTGTCTCTGTGTATGTGTGCGTCTCTGTGTATGTGTGCGTGTCTGTGCATGTGTGCGTGTCTGTGCATGTGTGTGTGTCTCTGTGTATGTGTGTGTCTCTATGTGTGTGTCTCTGTGCATGTGTGTGTCTCTGTGCATGTGTGTGTCTCTGTGCATGTGTGAGTCTCTGTGCATGTGTGTGTCTCTGTGCATGTGTGTGTCTCTGTGCATGTGTGTGTCTCTGTGCATGTGTGTGTCTCTGTGCATGTGTGTGTCTCTGTGCATGTGTGTGTCTCTGTGCATGTGTGTGTGTCTCTGTGTATGTGTGTGTATGTGTGTGTCTCTGTGTATGTGTGTGTGTCTGTGCATGTGTGTGTGTCTCTGTGCATGTGTGTGTGTCTCTGTGTATGTGTGTCTCTATGTGTGTGTCTCTGTGCATGTGTGTGTCTCTGTGTATGTGTGTGTCTCTGTGTATGTGTGTGTCTCTGTGTATAGCTCCAATGGCTTCCTACTGCATAACTGACGGCTAAGGTTGTGGACAAAGTAGCAGTTGCAAGAGACTTCAGTTGCAAGTGATCTCGTTGTGACCAACTGAGCTGTGTGTTTAGCAGGCAATCCCTCCCCACCAACACCACCCCTACCCTCCACCCACCCACGCCTCCACCCACCCACCCACCCACCTACCCACACCCCCACCAACCCACCCACACCTCCACCCACCCACTCCACACCTCCACCCACCCACCCACTCCACACCTCCAACCACCCACCCACACAACTACCCATTCCACACCTCCACCTACCCATCCACCTATTCCACACCTCCACCCACCCACGGAACTATTCCACACCTCCACCCACCCACGGAACTATTCCACACCTCCACCCACCCACCCACCCACTCCACACCTCCACCCACCCACACCTCCACACCTCCACCCACCCCTCAACACCTCCACCCACTCACTCACATCTCCACACACCCCCCCCCCTCCCCCCACAGTACTCACGTGGTCTCGCCTGCCCAGGCGACACAGGCTCGCGGCCATAGACGCCGGGATGGTCATCTCTGGGGTAAGACGGCCCGGTGGTGGTGGGGTGGTGGGTAGGGTGGTGGTGGGGGGGTAGTGGTAGTGTGGGGGTAGTGGTGGGGTGGGTAGGGTGGTGGTGGTAGTTTGGTGAGGTGGTGGTGTGGTGATGGTGCGGTGAGGTGGTGGTTTGGTGAGATGGTGGTGGTGTGTTGAGGTGATGGGGTAGTGGTGGTGGGGTGGTGATGGGGTGGTGGTGGGGTGGTGGTGTTAGTGGTGGTGGGGTGGTGGGGGTAGTGGTGGTGGTGGGGGTAGTGGTGGTGGTGGTAGTGGTGGTAGGGTGGTGGTGGTAGGGTGGTGGTGGTAGAGTGGTGGTGGGTGATGGGGTGGTGGTGGTAGTGGTGGTAGTGGTGGTAGGGTGGTGGTGGTAGGGTGGTGGTGGTGGTGGTAGTGGTGGTGGTGGTAGGGTGGTGGTGGTAGTAGGGTGGTGGTGGTGGTAGGGTGGTGGTGGTGGGTGATGGGGTGGTGGTGGTAGTGGTGGTAGGGTGGTGGTGGTAGGGTGGTGGTGGTAGTGGTAGTGGTGGTAGGGTGGTGGTGGTGGTGGTGGTAGTGGTGGTAGGGTGGTGGTGGGGTGGTGGTGTTAGTGGTGGGGTGGGTAGGGTGGTGGTGGTGGTGGGGTGGTGGTGTTAGTGGTGGTGGTGGTGGTGGGGTGGTAGGGTGGTGGTGTTAGTGGTGGTGGTGGTGGTAGTGGTGGTAGTGGTGGCAGGGTGGTGGTGGTCCTTGGCAAATAAATCGGCACGTGTCCCGAACCGTAACCAAATCGCACGTCAAAAACACCGCAACGCTCACTGTCGACGGCTCCCACTAATACGACGACGACGACATCCACGCTACGCAGGGAGTTTGAACGATCAAATATAAAAAAAAACACACACGTAAAACGCATAACACATATAAAACACAAGAGCGGCGACAATAATAATTCAACGCGCCTAAAAAACCCGCAACGCCGCGGAGGCAACGGCCCACAAAAATAAACAAGAGCGTGACAAAACAACTGAACAGCGTGCGACTGGATCGCTGGATCGCAGTTCCCACCACCACCACCCCCCGCTCTCCCTCTCTCTCTCTCTCTCCCACCGCCGGGTCGGGAATCCGGATCCGGACACCCGCGGGAAACGACCACGAGGCACCGGAGGAGGCGGCGGCGGGAGGTGGACTGGAGTGAGATGGACGACCCCGTGCGGGGGAGAGAGAGAATGTGAGAGAGAGAGAATGTGAGAGAGAGAGAATGTGAGAGAGAGAGAGAGTGTGTGAGAGAGAGAGAGAGAATGTGAGAGAGAGAATGTGAGAGAGAGTGTGAGAGAGTGTGAGAGAGAGTGTGAGAGAGAGAGAGAATGTGAGAGAGAGAGAGAATGTGAGAGAGAGAGAGAGAGAATGAGAGAGAGAGAGAATGAGAGAATGTGAGAGAGAGAATGTGAGAGAGAGAATGAGAGAGAGAGAATGTGTGAGAGAGAGAGAGAGAATGAGAGAGAATGTGAGAGAGAGAATGTGAGAGAGAGAATGAGAGAGAGAGAATGTGTGAGAGAGAGAGAGAGAATGAGAGAGAGAGAATGTGAGAGAGAGAGAATGAGAGAGAGAGAGAATGTGAGAGAGAGAGAATGAGAGAGAGAGAATGTGAGAGAGAGAGAGAATGAGAGAGAGAGAGAATGAGAGAGAGAGAATGTGAGAGAGAGAATGAGAGTCGCCGGGGTTTGTTAGCGCCCGCGTGTGCGTACGTGCGTGTGTGCGTACGTGCGTGTGTGCGTGTGGCAGGCTACGCACGTGCAGTTAAACGAAAGGGTATTTAAATTTTAGTAAAAAAAAATCTGGAAGGACGCGAGCGTGCGGGAGAGAGCGACGCCGAATCGGTGATAGTCGCGAGCACGGCACCGCCACGAACAGAACCACCGCCGCCACCACCACCGCCACCACCACCGCCAACACCACCACCACCACCACCACCGCCAACACCACCAACACCACCAACACCACCACCGCCACCGCCGCGGTAACGAACGTGGCACGCCGCTACCGCCCGGAGGAGCATCTGTTGCGTACGTGGGGGGCGGGGTGGTGG